CCTGCAGCCACGCCCACCAACCTGCAGCCACGCCCCACCGCCCCGCAGCCACGCCCCACCTACCACCTGTCAGTCATCCAGGCTAGAATGGACTGATCAGGTTCCAGCTCTCAAGACCCGTTTCACCTCTAATATTCCTGTACTAATATAGGGGCTTTGGGGGTACACCTCATGCCCAAACTCTTACAGTGCTATTGTTTTGGTTTAAAAGAATTTGAGCTGGGCAGAGTGGCGCTCACGTGTAATTCCAACGGCTCGGGAAGTGAGATAGGAGGATCGAAAGTTCAAAGCCAGCCTCAGCAAAAGCGAGGCCCTGAGCAACTCAGGGAGACCCTGTCTCTAAATAAAATACAAAATAGGGCTGGGGGTGTGGCTCAGTGGTCCATTGCCCCTGAGTTCCATCCCTGGTACTAAAAAAAAAAACAAACCTGGAGGAGGTTATATTGGCAATCAGATACCAATATCAACCTTAGTTAAATTAGAACAAGGAATTTTTAAGATTCATTTACTTAGAAACAATAATAAACCCATTACATGTTAACATTAACTCTTTTATTAAAAAAAAAATCTGTATTTTCCAAAACAAAAAATAAGAAGCACAGGATAATTACATTCTTGAAAATCTCTCTGAAGTCTGACTTAATTGAAGACAGCTGGAGCCTTACAGCTGCTGCCATCAGTCTGTAGCCCCAGGTCTCGAAGCCACTGCGCACTCTGACCGTGACCTCATATTTTAATATTTTCACCCAGTTTATATTCAACCAAAGGAACCACAAAGGAAGAGGAGTGAGACACCAGTTTTACCGTCTTGACCCAAATCCCCTCTGAATCCTTCTAAATCCAAACAGCAGCACCTACTCCCTTCTGCACACTGGCTGTGCTCCAGGTCAATGGACAGTCCTTTGACGGAGGAGTCCCTCAGTCACGCTCACTAAGCTCCTACCAGTGGGGACTGTTGTGGTCACCCTAACCGCCACCCCCTCCCCCGAGCAGATGCAGAAACTGAGACACAGACCAACCAAATGACTCCTCTAAAGTCACATGGCCATCCAGAGGTTCTATCCATGTCACCTCCCAGCTGGCTTAGCCATAGTCTGAGCCTGACTCAGTCTTCCACGGCTCGCTGGGCCCCATCCCCTGGGATCCTAACTCACTGGGCCTGGGAAGGACCAGGAACCCTTTATCCACGCTCCCTTTACTCCTTCGCTCTTTCATCCTTTCTGACTCAGACGATTGCAGCGAGCAGCCAGAATTGATAACAACTGGCCTTGCTACTCAAAGTCCAGGTCCTAGGACCTGGGACAACCCGAAAGTTCAATTGAATGCAGAACACTCTCCATCCCTCTGAACCAGATTTGCATTTTGGCAAGAGCCTCAGGTGATTCATGGGCAACCACCGTGTGAGGGGAAGTGCTGCTTCTAAGAGGGTGTGGGCTCAGGGGTCGATGGCAGGATAAAACAGTGGTTAGAGCATGGCCTCTAGGACTGGCACAGCTGGGCCTCACCTCCAGCTTCTCTCTTGACCTTGACCTTGGAGCCCACACCACTCTGAGCTTGATAACCGAGTGAAGATAAATGTTCCGAGATTTCTGAATCTCCACTGGGAAGGCTCAGGAAGACCTATAAATAAGTAACCTGGAATTGCAACAATTCAGTCTTACTTTATACAGTGGTGACAGTCAGAAGCCCAGAAGTCACCCTCCTGGGTGGCTGGGTGGGACTCTGGACAGGCACATTGCTGAGTCAAACCTCTCCTGGCTGCCCACTCTGAGGAGGGACACCTGGGGCAGATGCCGGCTGCTCCTGCCTCAAACCCCTTTCTCTCACCCTCCGTCTTTACTGAGTCTTTTTGTACCAAGTTGTCACTTCCCAACTTTCTTTGCAAGATGGGAGGCTGTGTGACCCTTTCTGACCACCTGCTATGGCTCCAAGGACAATTTTCTTTCTGATTAACAAAAAGGCTCCTGGGAGAGCTCTCTTCCCTGAACACCTTTCACACATTGGAAACTGTCACTTAAAGACTTGATACTTGGTGTGCCGTGACAACTATCTTGTGACCATGAGGTGCCCAGCTAAAAACAGCAGAGCAGAAGGCTGGAAAGCATCTGGGCCCTTGTTGACATTGTTGAGCAACAAACCAACTGTGAGATCACCCACATCTCGGCTTGAATGATAACAGAAATTCCTACTGTCGAGGCCATAACAATTGTCCTGTTATTTGAATGTTTCCTAACTAACACTTTTGGGGCATTGGGAGCGTGTCTCCACAGTAGCCTCACAGGGAACCACAATCGGGTGACCCGATCATGGAAGTCAATGCAGGAAAGGAAGAGTCGGTGGCTGCCACGTGGTGACTGAAGCGGACACACTGACTTGTAGCTGTCTGTGGGGGTGTCCTGCTGTGCACCCCCAGAAATAACTGGAAGAGGAGGATATTTTGCAACAGTGACTAAATCCTCGAATACAGACTGGGTAGCATAAGTCACAGGCTGAGGCATGAAAAGCATTGAAAATTTTTAGCAATCAATTGGTGATATCTGTCACGGCCACAAAATGGTGAAGCGGTAGCAATGTTGGGTCCCACCTCAGTTCTCTCAGTGCCCCTGACTGCTCGCTCCAGGGATGCATCCAGGGGTGGAAACAGCTGGAAGTCTCCCATCCCCACTCCAGGAGGGGACAGTCAGGAGCTAGAGCCTCTGAGGAGCCCGAGTCCCTTCTCGGCCTTGCCAAGGAAGGGCTCCCAGGTCTCCAGGAGGAGTGTCCAGCCTCTTATACCAACCAGGAAGCCCCGGAGACCAGGATCACCTGGCCTCCTCCAAGGAGCCACCAACAGGGTCTGTCTAAAAACCAAACCTGGGTTTTGTCGTGTGCAAAACAGGAGACACCTACCGAAAGTCCCGTGATTTAAGTAAAATGATCCACCAGAATGCACTGGCCACTTCAAAGCCAGGAGCAGCAAACCCCTCTGGGAAATGATCTCCTGATTCACTAACAGAAAGAGGGTCGTGAAAGGTCTGAACACGGAATACGCACGCCTTTGAGGGTTGGCAAGGCTGGGGTTTGATTCCTTTTAGTCAACCAGTATTCAGTGAGTCCTTCCCTGTACAGGTCACAGGAGAACCCAGGCACTGACTTGACCAACTCCATTTGCCTTTCCATCTCACCCCCAGCCCTTCGGAATCACTTTCTTCTGCAGTTTTCTCGGATTCCAGGAACCACAGGTCTGATTGATCAGCATCTTTAGGACAAGCAACTCAAACTTACCCCCATGCAACAGGGAGCCTTGCGGAACAGATCACCCGCAGCTGAACTGCCCCACCCCTAGCAGGAGCAATTACCCCAGGAGCAACCTACTTGCTCCTTAAGCATTAGGAGCAATCATCTCATGTTGGGAACCGAATTGTCCCCTGAAGTGATAATGACCTTCCCAGAGCTCCCACACCATCACCTGACCAAGCTGATCTAATCCTCCAGGTAGAGCTCCCAACCAGGGTCTTTTCCTATAAAACCTCAAGGTTCCTGTCAGGCCCTTGGAGACAGATCTTTGGTCACCTGTTCTTCCCAGTGTGGCCACGCTGCTTAAATTTCCTTTCCTGCCCTTCATAGCCGCTTGCCCTCTTTGACTGGCATTTTGGGACAGGTGGCCAAGTCTGGTCCGCTGGGGTCCCTGGATCTGAGGCCTTTGCCCTAGGACTTTGGTAACACAAGGATGAACAAAAGACGTGGGTTTGGGGTTTTGTCCTCATCCAGCTTAGGGATGTGCTGTGTAAACAGTAGCCACTGGCCACATGCAGCTATTTAAATTTAAATTAACTGAAAGGAAATAAAAATACCAATCACATGTAAAGTGCTCCGTAGCCACGGGGCCACTCTCCAAGGTAGACATGCAGCAAGCCCTCCAGAGACCTCTGCGGGGGGCAAAGGGTGAGGGCTGTCTGACCTTACAGCAAATGATACCAGTTGAGCCACTAGATGAGGACAGGAGCCAGACGCCTGGATTGGATCCCAGTTCTGCTGGCTGATGAACTTGGCCTGTACTGAATCCCTCTGGGCCTCAGCGTCTTCATGGGTAAAATGAGGCAAATAATGGTATTTGACCGAAAGGATTGCTAGGGCAATTAAATAAGTTAAAAGATTTAAAGTCCTTAGAACAACTCTTTACATACAGCGAGCACTATGTAAAATGCTAGCTATCTCGTGGACACTATCATCTTCCATGGGTCTTTGAACATTTTAGGGAGAGAGGGAGGGATGCACCTGCCACTCATTCTACTTCAGTTTCACTCTTTGCTCTCCAAGTAGCAGCAGCATCCAAAGTCATCAGAATCCCTCTGAAATAAACCCAGAAAAGGGATGTAAACATCACTATCATATTAATCAACTCGTGCTAAGAGATTTCCACATATCAGATCCCTGCACGAAGCCCTTGACCTGTGCCCCGCGTTTACCCATAGGAGTGTACTATTAAAACAATCTCCCTTTTACAGATCAGGACCCAACCCGCCCACGTTTACAGAAGGATCTCGAGGCCAGTTCCACTGGATACCACCAGGTGGCAGTGGCCATCCACTTTCCAGTTCCGCAGTCTGGCGGGAGTACTCTGCAAACGCTTGATGAGCGCCAACTGTATGCCAAACACTATTCTAGGCGTTCACAATATACGATTTCAGCAAATTCGGGGAAGAGGGAAGAGGTCTGCCTTTCCATTTTTTCCTTAAGAATAAAAGGTATTCGTGGAAATGCTTACCTAAGGGACACGTGACCTGATTGGGAGAAAACTGGCTTGGAGAAAATGGAACTGACAGCCAGAAGGGTTGCGAGTATTTCGGAAGGTCAGCGGTCCCCAAAACTCAGAGACTATGACCATCCCTGGAAGGAGTGTTACTCTTCAGCCCGCCTGCCGCGGAGGTGCGGTCATCTCCCTGTTGTGTCTTCACATATTTTGTGGCTGGGATTAGGAAGGGTGGTGTCAGCCTGAGAAATCAAGAATGGGGAGAAAAGAGTGACCCTCAACGACCCTTTTTTTGTCCCCAGAAAGAACCATCTGAGACAAGCCCCAGCTTGCAGATCCGAAGGTCACCCAGGGAACCAGCTCGAAAGGAGTACTGAAGCTCAGACACACACACACACACACACACACACACACACACACACACACACACACACTCCGCCAGCCTGGTCGGGGCAATGCCAACCCCAGGCCGCCCGGTGAACGAGGAGGGGATTAAGTGCCCAGGCTGGAGGTTGCCCTGGAACCCTTCTTCACACAGGTCCCAGCAGTCCGGTGGACACGTGCCCTGGTTGTGCCCTCTGTCTGCGAATCTCACAGCTGGAGGCTAGAACCTCTGAAAACGTGCGCTGGAGAGAGTGGTGGACGCGTGCGTACGTGGGTGATGTGCGCGGTGGTGGCGGTGGGAATCCTGCGTACGACCCACGTGAGGGGTGCACCATGTTGACGTGTGGGGGAGGTGTTTGGAGTGGACAAGGCTATGCGTGTTGAGCTTAGTTGAGCAAAAGGGCAAGGACCTGTGGGAGCGGGGTAGAGGAGGGCAGGGAGTGTGCTCAGTAGGGACCACCCTAGAGGAGTCCGAGCTGCGTGTGTGCCTAGAGGTATACCCGGGTATACCGGTGACTTTGGAACGCGCGGCAAGATCCTCTCTGCGTCCTGGACTCGGTGCTGCTTACGAACCCACATTGGAATGTATACCCTGCAGGAGAAGGCCCCTGCCCCAGGGCCCCCGTGGGAGTATGCCCCAGAGTGTGTGTGAGTGTGTGTGTGTGTGTGTGTGTGTGTGTGTGTGTGTGAGAGAGAGAGAGA